CAGTCCCTCCCGAAGTTTCCTTTGAAGGGGGCGCCCATCGTATTCCAAACTAACTCTACTTCATTCCCGAAACCTACCTATCCTCCTACCTCCTACCTGCCTCTGCCTCTATCCGTTCAGCCCGGGCTCCACCCAAGCCCTCTGGAGAGGCTGCGCCACCGCGTCCGAGGCGCGATCGTGCCAGGGGAGGCTTGAAAGGGGTTCGCGACGCGCGGATAGTATTTCGGATGCAGCCCGCCTCCACGCGATAAGTGATTACTACCAGTGCCCGTAACGCGCCTTTGCATGTGTGTACCTCCGGTACGCTCCGGTACCCTCCGGTACGCTCCGGTACCCTCCGGTACGCTCCGGTACCTTTTGCAACTCCAGCCACCTGGGCGGGTGAACTTTTCTCGCGAACGCCATAGAAAATACCCGTGCACGTCGCACAGTAAAGCGTTATCACTGCCCCTCCCCTCTCCCCCTGTCTCTGGGGGTTGGGTGAGCACGTCCGCTGCGAGGCAGGCGTCTGACAGCCTGGGACAGAAAGAGAGGGAGAGAGAGAGGGGGGGATATACAGAGAGTGTGAGAGAGGAGAAAAAGCTCGGCATTTTCCGCGCAATTTTTCTTTGGCTCTCTGCCCCGCCCCGCCCCGCCCCGCCCCACGCGCTCCACGGGTGTGCCTGGAGCCTTCGCCCCCACCAGCCGTGTCCTTCGCTTGTTAGCTGCCCGTGGCTGTCAAAAGCAATGGATCAGTCGGAGAGAGAAGGCTGATGGGGGCAGGTTGGGGTGTGCGCGTTCCTGCTGACGCTGATCGAAAAGTCAGGCAAATCGTACAATCATGGTACAATCGTGAAAAAAGTCCGCTTTTGGACGGTGCTAAAAGTCTTTTGGTGCCAAGCAAACTCTAAGTCAAATACTCTTGAAAAGCCGCTAAAAAATCACGTGATGAAATAAATAGGCGTGCAAAAATACCACAGAAACGCGTAACGAACGTCTACGGAAACGTCGATCCACTACCTTTTCCAAACTAGCTAATCATACCAACCAGCCACGGCGCGTAACGAACAACCAGCCGCGTACCAGCCGCGCGAGTTTCAATATTTCAAAGTGTCAACCAGTGTGTGCCCGACGCGACTGACAGCTCGCAATTAATTTTCTCTCGCTTGCAATTAATACTGTTCAAAGGCAGCTGGGAGCGAGTCGGAAGTGTTGTATGGTTGTTTGTCGGGGGTGGGCCGGGCAACCCTTTGACCGGTTATGGCTCTTGCCCGTTCGTTGCGTTACTCACATGAAACACGCACGCCGCCACGGGGGTCAGGGCCAGCGTGGAGAGGAACTGCTTGCGTGCCTCGGCGGTGGAGGATGAGCGAGAGACGGCGTTCTTTGGGCCGACAAACTGCTGCTGGTGCGGGAGCGGGAGGGGCTGCTGCTGCTGTTGCTGCTGCTGCTGCTGCAGGGAGGTCACCAAGCCGTTGCCGAGGTCCGGCGGAGACAGTGACAGCTGGCTGTAGTACTGGTACAGGGGCTCCGCCTGTAAAGCCGTCTCATCAACCTGACTGCTGTCTGGCCCGCTGCTGCCACACGTCGTACACTTTCCCTAACGTTGCGCGAACACTATTTGCCACTAGTCTAGAGTATGACAAGCGTGAATGGAAAGAAAATAAATCTACCTAATTGTAAAATAATAAAAACAGTACAGTCTACTCGTGTGTGCTTTGACGGCGTGCTTCGAGTCGCTGCTGCTCGCTTACCTGGTGATGGTTGGGCTTGTCCTGGCTCTTTCTGGCGAACAGGTCCGACAGCTTCTTGTAGGTGGACGTGACGGTGGACGTGCTCGACGCGGAGCTGGACGCGGAGGACGTCTTGGCGTGGCTGATGGGCGGCAGTCCGACCAGCGGAGTGCCCCCGGACCCCCCGGGCGGCAGCGAGGCCTGCTCCTCGCCCTGGGGGCTGGTGCGCTCGCTCGGGCGCTCGCTCGGGCGCTCGCTCGGGCGCTCGCCGTCCGCGCTCGTGTCGGACGTGCCCTCCAGCTCGGGCCGCGCCTCGTCCACCACGGGATCCACGTCGTCGTCCACGTCGCACGTCAGCTGCCGGATGCGCTCGACGAGCGAGTCCTGGCGCCGCTGCTTGCCGCGCGACTTGAGCAGCAGCGAGCGCCTCAGCGTGTTGCGCTCGATGGCGCGCCGCAGCGTGCCGTCGCCCACCGGCGGGATGTCGTCCCGGTCGTCCGTCTTGCGGTAGCGCCGCGTGCCGTCCAGCGCGCGCAGCGAGTCGGCCGTCAGCAGGTAGGGCAGCGGCAGCGGCACCTCCTCGTCGTCGTCGGCGCCCAGCGACCCCGGGAACAGCTGGCGCACGGCGCTGTTGGGCCGCTGGAGGGATCCCGCCTGCAGGATGCTGGAGCCGATCCGGAACTGGAGCGTCACCTCGCCGGGCTTGTGGTCTGGCTGCGCGGCTGGGGCGCTGGCCGTGGACGCGCTGGCCGCGGTCGCGGCCGCCGCCGCCTTCTCCGGGGTCGGGTCTGACTCGGCGCCGCTGGCCGCGGACCGCTCCGCAAGCTCCTCCTCCGTGAAGCGCACCATAGGCCTGTTGTCGTTGTCGTCTGTCGGCGAACTCGGCGACATGATCGGCGAGGCCGCGGCCGCCGAGGCGTCGGGTGGCGCGGGGAGCGCGTTGGGAGGTGCCCCCTCCGCTGACGGCGTCCTCCACATCTTGCCGCCCTTGAGGATGCCGCCGCGGCCCTGAGCGCCCGCCACCACCTGCTCGCCGCTCTCGCTCGCCTCCCGCACGATGCGTCGCTCCGTCACGGTTGTCATCGTGATGGTCTCCACGATGAAGCGCTGCTGCGTGGCCGCGGCCGAGGCCTGCTGCACGCCGCCGGCACCGCCGCGCGCGCCCTTGGCGTCCTCCGCCGCGTCCTCGACCGCGCCCTCAGTCGCCTGCGCGGGACAAGCAGAGGGGCGTGAAGCGAGTCTGGCGGGGGAAGCGACTACGCACGGGTCCGTGGGGGACGAGGTCTTGGGGGAGTACTGCATTGGGGTGCGCGGCGAGGCGCTACTTACCGTCGCCACCGTGCTGTGGCCGAGGCCTTGGCCGCCCGAGGTGGAGCCGCGGCTGGGCCTCCGCGCCGGCAGCGTGCCCCCGGGCGGGCCGAGGGGCGGGCCTGCATCCTCGCCGCCGTCCGCCGCTGGAACACAAGAGGGCGACACGTCTCATTAGCATCTCGGCGGCCTTGGCCAAGCTCTCCGCTACACGAGCGGCGCCGGGTACATCACAACTACTTGTCCACAACTACAACCCTCGTGTCACCCCGGAGGACAAGAGCATTTACAAGCATCCTGTAGAAAATAGGGCGGCGTATTTGTTTCGCAGCAGGAGTTACATTTGCTTTTTCGTCGCCCTTCTGTACCGCCTGCAGCCGTGCAGCCGGGTTGCCTACTCACACGGCGTTCCGTGGCGCTAGTCGGTGACGGCCGTCGGGCCTTCCGCGGTACAGCAGCAACGTACCAAAGTAACGCGCCTGACATCGGGGGAGAGACGAACGAGGATATAAAGGAACGAAGAAGGAGAGAAAGAGATGAAGAGGGAAGAGGGTCTCGCGTGCGAAGCGTGACGCGGCCCGCAAGACCGGGTGCTCGACCCGCTGCGGGGCGGGCGTTCTAGAACACCTGCGAAACGGAAGTGTAAAGGAACAAAAGATACGCCATCACCCTCGAGTTTATTATTACTGTGAGAAAAACACGACGCACAATAAAGGCGAGAGTCCTGCAGTCCTGTCCTCCATCATACCCCAGACACGCAATCAGCATGCTCCCCATCTCCGCGTCCTCCGTCTTTCTTTTTCTCTCGGCGGGCAGGGGCAGGGCTCCAGCTCGGCGCTAGGCACATCTCCCACCAGCAGCGCCTGGTGGCGCCCGGTGGTGAGGAGAGTGGGCCAGCACCGGCATTCACACAAATCCACCCGCAGCAGCAGCAACGACAGCAGCAGCCAGCTTGTGGCTGCGGACCGGGCCACTCGACCCGCTTAGCCGCGGTGTTGTCGTCCAGCGCCAATGTTCCTATTGAGCGTGTCGCGACGTGCGTACAGGAAGGGCGTGTGTGTGGGAGGGGGTGATGGCGGCGTGGTGTTTTCTCATGAGTTCCACTTGCAAAGTATGCAAAGTAGCGGCAGGGGAGAGCCCGCCGCCCCCGCCCGGTCCGCCTTACGCCTACGAGGTACTTGACCCGGGCGGCGGCGGGCGGAACCAGCCCCTCGGCCCACGGCCCTGCCACGCCCCGCCACGCCCCGCCGCACTTCTTCTATACTTGTTTTGGCGCGCGGCTTCATACCCAACGACTCATGTAAGATAAACTCCCCCCTGCATTGCGAACTTGTCCCCCCCCCCCCCGGCCCGGAGGAAGAAAACAGACGGGTAGACAGACCGACACGCCGTGCCGTGCCGTGCCTCTGGGCGTGGGCGGTTTAAAACTTTATGCAGCTGGTGGTTGTCGGGGCAGCGCCAGCGCTGGGGCCGTGATAGCGGCAGACAGGACGGAGGACGGCGTCAAGCGGTCAAAGACTCCTCCCTCATGTGCGTCGTGGGAGCCAGCCCCGAACCGCCCCGCCCCGCCCCGCCTCGCCTCGCCCCGGTTCGGCGTGCACCCCGTGCTGTGAAGAGTAGCACTGGAGGAGGGGTTGGGGGAAGGAACGTGGGGCGTTCTTCATTTAGGCAACCCCTCCGGAGGGGGTACCCTCGGGTATGCTGCGGTGGTACGCCCCGACCCGCCATGCCCCGAACCGCCCCG